ACACTGAGAAGAGGAAAATTCTTTTAATATTTGGTCAAAAGCTAGAGCATAAAGTTAAAAAGAAAAAAGTCAGAAGACTTATCGTTGATTCAGTAAGACTTCAGCTGAAGCAGTGGTTGTAGAAGATACACTGAGGCATGTTTCCCAGCTGAGAGACAGAAGCCAGAACGAGGGAGACGGATGGATGGATGGACAGATGGATGGATGGATGGATGGGCAGATGGATGGATGGGTGGATGGACAGATGGATGGATGGGCAGGTAGATGGATGGATGGATGGACAGATGGATGGACAGGTAGATGGATGGATGGATGCATGGATGATTAAATAACAATGAGTAAAAGCAGGCCCAGCATCCTCGGTAGACAACATGAGAGGTGAAGAGAGGGTGAGGAGAGAGCATAGAACATATCCTCCTATGATAAAGATGAATCCTGGCCGGCGCTGCAGCTCACTAGACTAATCCTCCGCCTTGCGGCGCCAGCACACCGGGTTCTAGTCCCGGTCGGGGCGCCGGATTCTGTCCCGGTTGCCCCTCTTCCAGGCCAGCTCTCTGCTGTGGCCAGGGAGTGCAGTGGAGGATGGCCCAAGTGCTTGGGCCCTGCACCCCATGGGAGACCAGGAGAAGTACCTGGCTCCTGCCATCGGATCAGCGTGGTGCGCCGGCCGCAGCACGCCGGCCGCGGTGGCCATTGGAGGGTGAACCAACGGCAAAGGAAGACCTTTCTCTCTCTCTCTCTCTCACTCTCTCACTGTCCACTCTGCCTGAAAAAAAAAAAAAAAAAAAAGATGAATCCTTCCTGAATGCAAAACCAGCTACAACTAAAGGACTCCCCAGTCTCTCTCCCGTTAAGTGATATCCTACCATAGCAACACTGTTTAAAGACTGACAACTCATCTGACTACATTAGCAGGATTTCCTCGATCTTGTTTTATCTGTACATAATATACATAATATACAACAATATTCTTATGACCAGTGGTAAAAATCAAAGGCAGTTCCTTTGTTTAATATTTTTTAAAGATTTATTTATTTTATATGAAAGTCAGAGTTACACAGAGAAAGAAGAGACAGAGAGAGAGAGAGGTCTTCCATCCACTGGTTCACTCCCCAGTTGGCTGCAACAGCAGTTCCTTTAAGATTTTTTTAAAGATTTATTTATTTTATATGAAAGTCAGAGTTACACAGAGAAAGAAGAAGAGACAGAAAGAGACAGAGAGACAGAGAGAGAGAGAGATCTTCCATCCACTGGTTCACTCCCCAGTTGGCTGCAACGGCCGGAGCTGCACCGATCGGAAGCCAGGGCCCACATGGGTGCAGGGGCCCAAGGACTTGGGCCATCTTCTACTGCCCTCCCAAGCCACAGCAGAGAGCTGGATCGGAAGAGGAGCAGCCGGGACTAGAACTGGCCCCCATATGGAATGCCGGCAGTGCAAGCAGCAGCTTTACCCGCTCCACCACAGCGCTGGTCCCAAGGTCCCTTCTTTTTAACTGCAGAAAACAAAGCCCCAGCAACAGAGAGTGAGAGGAAAGAGCAGTCATGTGTGAGCAAGCCAGGAGCAGGAGACAATGTGGTTAGGGGCTTCTCCTCCCTCAGTGGCCCAGACCCTCCTGCTCCCCAAGACACAGCACAGCTCAGAGGAGAGTAGGGCAAGGACCCAGGGCTCCCGAACCTATGCAGCTCTCAGCAGCACACAGCCCCAGCTGTTGAGATAACAAGGATTGTAGCATGTGTGCCAGACTGGCAAAGATCAGTCCACTCCCACTGTGTCTACGCCCACTCCATTCACACAGCGGCAGAAGGCGCAGGCACACACCGGAAGCAGGAACAATTATTTTCAAGACCTATCTGTAGGGGTGGGCACTCGGCACAGCAGGTAAGCCAGCTAAGCTACTGCTGGAGACACCCACATCCCACTCTGAAATGCCTGAATTTGAGTCCAGCCCTCCTCCCAAGTCTAGCCTGCCGAAGTGCACCTCCTGGGGCAGCTGGCGATGGCTCAGGTACTTGGGTTCCTGCCACCCACCTGGGAGATCTAAATTGGATTCCAGCTTCAGCCTGGCCTGGCCTGATAGAGTCCTGATGGTCCAAGCAATGGGGAACTGAACCAGTGGATGGAAGGTCGTTTTTCTGCGTCTGATTCTCTCCGTCTCTGAAAATAAATTTTTCACGATATATCCATACATGCTGAGCTGAAAGTATTCAAAATGAAATAGACTGCCACCTGCTTCCAGCAAGGGCTTGGTGACTCCCTGTGTTCTGGGCCCACTCTACAAAACACAGAGCTCCATTAAGTTCTACACTCGCAGGGGCATTGAGGTTTCTCTTGTAATGTCTCTCTTACAGTACCCAAATACATCATTTCTTCTCCATTTCTCATGCTTAACAGATGGAACATCTTACTCCTAAAAGAGAGAATCAACTTGGTGACTATGTTTCACGCACAAAACCCAGACTTGTCTGGTGGGGAAGACTGAGTTTGCCTTACAAGCGTGCCGCCTAGTGTCTACATGTGGAACTGCACACAATCTATAGTCAATCACTTGAGGCCACAACACCCTTGCTGAAATCTCGCTTGGCGAAATGCTGAAGCATATATGTAGACCTATTTTTCAAATCAAATGACATTCTCATTTATTTACTTTCATATTTCAAATGTGTATTACCATCCAAAAGCTGTACCTATGAAATTTATATTAAATAAAAGCTTTCAAAAAAAGGAAAAAAAATGTATTACCCTTGAAATGAGGTAGCCTTAAGTTCATACTTTGAAGTTCAGCAAATCTTTTTAAATGACAAAATAGACAAGTGGTCCCCCCAAAATGCTGAGACTTTTCAGTCATTAACATAGCGTGCCCTTATGAACAGAAACAGCAGGAGTTTCTACAGAGGAGTCTCAATTTCCTAGAGAAATATTTGTGAATTCCCTCCCCCCAAAAAAAGTGTTTCATATACAGCCCATGTGAATACTCATAATAATGAATTTAGAAAATCCTAGGTCATTCCTTGGACTGCTGAACAACCTTGAGCAAGTGACTTTCTCTCCAAGCCCACCTATAAAATCAATAAAAATACGTTCCCTACCGAAAGCATGCTTGGTACCTAAAAAGGGATAAAAATGTTGCAGACTGCCATCTTTATTGCTGTTATTATTATGTTCTAGGCACTGTGCTAAATGGGAAGATGCAGCCCCCACTGTCCTCCGGAAGTGTACAGTCTTTTTTTTTTTTTTTTTTTTTGACAGGCAGAGTTAGACAGTGAGACAGAGAGAGAGACAGAGACAGAGACAGAGAGAAAGGTCTTCCTTCCATTGGTTCACCCCCCCAAGTGGCCACTACGGCCCGTGTGTTGCGGCCTGGAGCCAGGTGCTTCCTCCTGGTCTCCCATGCGGGTGCAAGGCCCAAGGACTTGGGCCATCCTCCACTGCACTCCCGGGCCACAGAAGAGAGCTGGACTGGAAGAGAAGCAACCGGGACAGAATCCAGTGCCCCAACCAGGACTAGAACCCGGGATGCCGGCGCCGCAGGCAGAGGATTAGCCTAGTGAGCCGCAGCACCAGCCAAGGAAGTGTACAGTCTTAGCAGGGTTGTACATGAGCCAAAAATCACGGACATGGTGGGATTTGTTCCTGGTGTTGGGCAAACAGCCAAGAGGGACACAAAACCCAACTCGAGGTCTATTTGTAAGGACACTTTCAGCGCCTCCTCACCGCAGGCTATGAGGGGCATTGCAGCTCCCATGGTACTCTGCAGGAGGCAGTGAGAAAACCATGAAAGTAAAGAGGTCTGAGAACCTGGCCCCACTGAAAAGCAAAATCTGAGGCTGGAGTCCTCAGATCGGGGTGAGGCTGCTAATCGCAAGGCCAGAGCTCCC